GTAAACTCGCGTCTCCACTTCCATGGTTAATTTCTCTTGGGAACACTGGGAGAGGAATATATTTCAACAGGTTCTTCTATGAGGTTATATTTGCTCATGCTACAAAACGTTATACAAAATAAAAAATATTTTAATTTTAATACTATTTGCATTGTTGTGTTGTCCGATAAAAAAAAATAACCCATTAAAATTATTTTTTTTAATTTGAATTGAATTGATAATAATAATTTAAGTTTTTATATAAAATATGAAAACTTAAATTTATAATAAATGTTTTTTTCATAAAATAATTTCTTTAAAGTTATACAGAGTATTCTCGAAATTGTACAGAGTTTGAGTTTTCTAGTGTCTTGTAATAATTTTAATACTTCTCATTTAATTTATTCTTTTGAAGATATCAAGAGCACGCACACACACATATCACACACACACACTCTACACTGCAAATGTCAATACATGTGAATCAACGCGTAACAGACACACACACACCTTGCTTATGACCGAAAGATTTCGCTCTTTCGTAGCCTAATTAATTATCTATATCATTAGTTAACGAACTAATTAATTAATTGAAAATATTCAATAAATTGTTATCAACTGATCCAGTTAATTGACTATAATTCATAGTGTTCAATAATTTATTAAAATACAAAATTATTGAAAAACACAGCCGGGTCCAGCTTGTTAGCATATAAAGACGCATTGTTAGTAAAAGGACACAACACAACATGTTCAGTAAAAGACACAACACAACAAACCAGCACTAATTGCATCAATCAAACAATCAAATACTGACAAATAGTTAATTTTTTTTATTTACATTTGCAAAATAGTGAACAACACGTGTTTACTCGAGTCTGGATGTAAAGTACGGCAGCAGGGCACCTGCTCCGGGACCTCCACCGAAAATGTGAGACCAACACAAAAAAATCATTGTAACTTCAATATAATTTCAATTAAATATTTGTTAAAAACACTGGTTTTACTGAATAAATTGTTAAAATATGTGGAAAAAGAAAAAGCTTTCCTCCATCCACAAATAATCAGTGACCCTCTCAAATAATAAGGGTTTCTTCGTTGTTCCAGGGCCTCCACATTTTCAAATTTGGCTATATTAAAGTTTTGTTGAAGTTTTCAATGAATTAACTTAGAATCCAGTTTTTTAAACTCAATTAAAACATTTGGAACATTTAATATTAAGAAATACTTAGGTGTATTGTAAAGCGAGTTTATTAACGTTTAAAAATATTTCAAAAACGACCGCCAGAGTGTATATGATGATTTTTTTATTTTAAAAATATTTTAAAATTTGCTTTTTATTTTATATAAATATTCGAAATCCGTTAAATGAATTTTTTTTTAAATAAATAAAAAATTTGTTAATTGAAAATTTTAAATGAATCACCGGTGTAATTGTTTTAATGAAAGTACGAAACATAATTATTATCGCATACCAGAATTCGAAAAACTGAAAACAAGAAAATTTGTAGTCTGGTGTGGCGAATAACAAACGAAAAATTAGTGTGCGTGTCTTTGTTCATGTGCCTTTGTGGGTATTTGTGTGTGTGTGTCCATGTGCCTTTGTGGGTATTTGTTTTGTGTGTGTAGGTGTGTATACGTGGGTGTGTGGGTGCCTGTGCGTGAGTGAATGTATGTGTTTGAGTTGTGTCTGTGTGATTGTGTGTGTTTGTGAGTATGTGATTGCATGGGTGTGTTTACAATGATAAATTTTAGTTGCGGTGGAGATTTTTCAATTCGTGTTTCAAAAACATCAATTTGATAAAAATTTTTAATTTTAAACTGATATATAAAAACAGTT